GCCTTGTTCCAAACCAGCGGAAGATTAAGTATGGCATGACTGAGCTTATCTCAGGGGTTCTAGGGGTGTCTGACATTTCTGATTTAAATAATAAACATAAGTATGTTTATTCTTCTCCTTTCTCTTTTCCAGAAATTTCACAAGCTATAGAACAAGGTGGTGCCACAGCAGCAGAGACAAAAGAACAAGGTGAAGAAAACAGATTTATTCCTTTGTTGCCATCTTGGAATGAAGTTGGGTGAAAGAAATCCATGTAGTTTAGGTAGCGGCGGGGGGGGGGGCATCCGCTTTCCCTGTCTTCCTCCTCATTTGTCTCTGTCAGTCCTTTCCCTAAGAGCTCTTGATAAGTACCAGGGATAGAGCTATGTATGTTCCCTGTGATTATCTCCGGTCAGATTTTATGAAAACAAATTCCAAAGAACCCATGATTCTAGTGGACTCGAGCATCAAGCACAAGCTTGTCTGACTGACGGGTGCTAACCACACAGCCAAGAGTGGTCAAGCGATTTGTTCAAAATTGCTTGAGTAGTAGTAGTAGTAATTATTTTCTTAATTCTCTCTGTCAACTAGTGTTTAGTGAACACCTACCACCAAAGAACTGTGATAAAATTATATTGGTAAGAAAGACATATTTCTTGCCTTCATGGTGTTTATAGCCCAGATTTATATGTTAATTAAGCCAAAGATGAGAAATGATCTGAGGTGCTGTGGCTGAGTGGGATGGGAGTTGGAAGGTCGAGGAAGTCGAAGCAGCCTTCCCTGAGGAAATGCTGCTTGAGGCTTTTTTGTTGAGAGATAATTCACATTCTGTGACGTTCACCCTTTCGAAGTATACAATTTAGTAACTCTTAGCATATTCAGTTTTCTTGCTGTCGCTACTAATTCTGAAGCATTTCTTTCTGCCAAAGAGAAACCCCATACCCACTAGCAGTCACTCCCCATTTTCTCCCTACCCCTGAACCCTAGATAACCACTAACCTATTTTCCATCTCTAAACATTTACCTATTCCGGACCTTTCGTGTAAGTGGAATCATACGATATGTGGCGCTTTGTGACGGGCTTCCTTCACGTAGCATGTTTTCAAAGTTCACTCGCGGTGCAGTAGTGTCAGCACCTCATTCACACTGCTGAATAATATTCCATTGCATGGGCAAACCACAGTCTCTTCATCCATTCTTCAGTTCACGGAAATTTGGGTTCTTTCCACTTTTTGGCTATGGTCAATGATGCTGGTCTGCACATTCATGTAATTGAAGTGATTTTATTTGTGTGAGATACTCAAGATATAAAACCAGTATAACTTGGTGATGGGGTTCTGAGAAAAAGGCTTCAGGAACTGCTCCCACATTTCTGCTTGAACAGTCTCTGATGGATGGCGATGCTAAAATTTCAAGCTCGGAAGTCACTTCAGGCTGGGTTTTTATTCTACCTGTACAACATGTGTTGACCCTGTGTGGGTTACTTGATCATTCATTCAACCAATTTGAAAAACTAATAGTTTAAATTGGTATAAATAATAACTACATATATTGGTGAAATTTCTAGAATACTTACCATGGGCAGGCGATGTCCTCCATGTCTTATGATTAGGTCATAACACCTTCACACCAACCTTGTAAAAAGAGGTATTAATATCCCCATTTGACATCATGAACAAACTATCACAGAGGATTAATATGAGATAAAATTAGGTTTACGTAAAAAAAAAAAATGAGCTCGACATCTATTCCAAAGTAAGTTCATGCACATAAGCTTTTCCCTAGTTATCATTTACAAAAAACTTAAGAAAAGGAATACGCTTTTCGCTGGAAATGAAAGATGAAATGAGTTTTTGAAGCTTTGAATTTGAGGTCCCTGTGGCCCCTTAAGGTGGTGACTTAGACATATAGGCCTGGAATTTTAGAAAAGAAGTCATCATTAGAGAGAGGTTCGGAACGCTTAAGCATGGACGTAATACTTGACTCCATGGGAAAAAAAGAGGTGACTGAGGAAGGACCAAAAAAGCCCAGGTTCAACTGCAGACACCTCCCTGGGTTTCCCTCCCTCTATAAAAACCTACAGTTCAGTCATTTAGCCAGTTGTCCGTCTGAGGGTAGCATGTCAGTCTGAGCTCAGCAAATAGAAGCTTAGATCTCAAAGTGTGCTTCCTGTGGTTTTAATACAGGTCTGTTCATGGCTTTCCCTCTGATTCTGTTGGTTCTGCATTCATGGATTCAACCAGCTTCAGACTGAAAATATTTGGGGGAAAAAATTCCGCAGAGTTCCAAAAAGCAAAATTTGAATTTACCACATGCCAAATAGTACGACATTGAATCCATGTGAATGAAGTGATCTGCAGGTGTTGTTAGGTATTATAAGTAATCTAGATATGACTTAAAGTATATGGGAAGATTGCAAATACTGCTTTATTTTATATAAGGGACCTGAGCATTCATGGATTTTGGTGTTTTAGGGGGTTCTGGAACCCACCTCCCACATATACCAAGGATACAGTAATAAAGTATGAAGTTTAGAACTCTTGCATAGAAATCTTGTATACAATTAATAATTACGCATTAGTGCAGGGAGAATCCTACTGTCTTCTTTTAAATAGAGTCAGGGGTCTCACTATTTTGCCCAGGCTGGTCTTCAACTCCTGGGCTCAAGCAATCCTCCTGCCTCAGCCTCCCAAATAGCTGGGACAACAGGTGCATGCTACCACACCTGGCCACTGTCTTTTAAGAGAAAAAAATAAAAGATATTGGTAGTACCAGCAAATTTAAGGTCCTAGAACATGAATCGTTTTCATGTTCATTGAGTACCTATTGGATATCAGAGACAGTCGAAGAGGCTGAAGTTACTTTTCTCATGGAGCTTATGTTGTAGTCTAGGGGCTAGACAATAATTACATGCATGAAAGAATTGTCTGTGATAAATGTTGGGGTAAAAGTAAAACAGGGTAATGTGAAAGAATTAGGATTTGTGATAACAGGCACCACTTGTCATGTTTGCCAAGGTGGCAAATGTGGTTAATAAATGTTGAATGCACATTCTTTTTTTTTATTTCAGCATGTTATGGGGGTACAGATGTTTAGGTTACATATGTTGCCCCTGCTCCCTGAATGCACATTCTTAAATATTCATCAGGTGGGGACTCTGCGCAGCAGCTTGTCTCGAATCCCACAGATACCCTAGAGTAGAGCTTGGATTCTGAGCAGGGTCTGTCTGACTTTGAGGGACAGGCTCCCTATTTTGTTTTGTTTTTTTGGACAGAGGCTTGCTCTGTTACCCAGGCTAGAGTGCAATAGTGTCATCACAGCTTACTGTAACCTCAGATTCCTGAGCTCGAGTTATCCTCCTGCCTCAGCTTCCTGAGTAGCTGGGGCCACAGGCATGCACCGCCATGCCTGGCTGATTTTCTTTTTTGTAGAGTTGGGGTCTCACCATTGTCCAGGCTGGTCCTGAACTCCTGGACCACAGTGATCCTCCCGCCTTGGCCTCCCAAAGTGATAGGATCACAGGCGTGAGCCACTGCACCCAGCCTCCCCTTCTTATGTAGAGCAGACGTTTCTCCATCGTAGCCTGGGGATGAAAGCAGGTGCATGTGCGCCTGGCCTTCAGGTGTCGGACTTGGGGCC